GGGTTCTCAGGACATGCTGTCGTGCGAATGGAAAAATTAATATTGTGATGCTGCTGCTGCGTTTGAGTCCAGGCATGAACAAAATCAGGCTGCTGGTGTCTGTTGACAGTGTTGCAAGTGGTTTGCTGTCTCTCCATGCTGGAGAGCAGGGAAGTGGCTGTTCAGTGAAAAATGTGGCTGCCGACACAGTTGTCATTTTTCCTCCTTGCTTGTCAGAAGTGGAAATATCCTAGTTCCCTGGAAGGATTAACCTGTATTGCAGTTAAAAGCTTCCATGATACTAGAATAATGTATGACTCACAATTTTAGTTTCTAGTAACGAACTAGAACAAAATGTTCATATTCTGCTCCCGCTGTTCCGTATCAGGGATGAACTAGAAGCACCCTTTCCTGATTTGCTAAAAGAAATTTGGGAGAGAAGGGGAAAAAAGCTCTAGAGTGACATGGGCAAGATGGAAATCAATTTAGGTTTTTGTCATGAAAATGCTCTGATAAAAACTAGGTCAAGCAATCCTTAAGTGAGTTGTTGAATTGCTTAATTCTTGCTGGACTGTATTACTCTCAGAGCTGACATTTGAGACCCAGATGGGGAGTGTGTCTGATATCCCAGCCAGTCACACATGAAATTACTGGGCATGCAAAACCACGTTTTCCTTGGGCTTTATGGAATTATTTCCTTTTATCAGTAAGAAAATGGAAACACTGGAAGCTGTTACCTGTGGTAGCATGGTCTTTGTGGAGAAGAGCTGTGGAAAACCTAGCTCAGGAGATGAGAGATTTCCCTGCTGCTGCTGACTAATGTAGGGTCTAAGGCATTGAACTAGAGATATGAAAGACTATATTTCAGAAGCAGAAAGTGAGAAAACCAATGAAGTGTAGGTTATTTGAGAGGCAAGAGAGACAGCTCATTAAAGCATGGGATTGATTAAAAGGCAGGCTGGGATTTCTGAATGACTGCTCTTTGTTTCTTGTACATTCAGTGGATCACAATCTCATGTATATTTGGAGCAGTGAAATCTTATCTTGCCAAAGAAATATTCAAAGAATATCATGTTGTTCTTGCAGTGGCCTTTTGAAGGGGTCAACATACTGTGGTTTGGCCCATGGTAGAGGGGCAACAGTGTGTTTTGGATATATGATATTACAGGCAGACGTTGAAATTCCTTGTATGGTCCGTTCTCTAAACTACTTACATTACAGGTGTCATGGTTTAAGCCCAGATGGAAATTAAGCCCCACACAGTTGCTCACTCAACCTCCCCCCTCACCCTGGTGGAATGGGGAGGAGAATCGAAGTCAAACTTGTATGTTGAGATAAGAACAGCTTAATACTTGAAAATAAAGTGAAACACGATAATAATAGTAAACAATGGTAACCTGTCCCAGCTATACTCCCTCCCACTGGTAGGGTGTGAGACAAGGAGGGAAAAAAAAAAAAATTCTTTGACTTAGGACAGACACAACTTAGCGAAAACCTAAACATCAGTGTGTTTTCAACACTGTTCTCATTCCAAATCCAAAACACAGCACTGTAACAGCTATTGAGAAAAATTAACTCCACCTTAGCAAAAACAGGGACAACAGGTTATGCAAATGAAAAAAAAAAATTATTTACAGTTGGATGCTTTTCGCTTCTCAAAAGTGAAAGAGCGGATTTAACAAATTTTATCTGTTTTCTATCCAAAGTTATTGACCTTTCTGTCATTTGCTGAAATTAATCACAATTTACTAAGTCTGGATGGATATTTTTCTGGGAGAGGAAAAAAAAAAAGAGAGCTGCTTTTCCACCTTTCCTGCTAATTCTAGCATTGATTTGCCACTGTTCATGTCTACTTCTACTATTGCAGAATTCTTTACTCTGTCTTAAACAACCTCAGTATCTTTCCTAAGGAATCTGAACTCAATTAAGCAGCTTATCTACTCCTTCTTCGAAAATTCATCTGTCCTGCATCACAGCTAATCCCGAAACTTGGCATGATATTATGCACAATTTATTTTCCATTATCATGCTATATTCTTCAGAAAGTATGACAGGAAAGGTTAATGTTCACGTAAAAGTGGACACTTTCTCAAAGCACAAAAGATTTAGACCTACTGAGCCTCTACCTTTGGCTTAAGGAAGTCCTTGAGCTGCAAACAGTTTATGAACATGGCAAGTATATAGTGATACTCTTCCTATGAGTAGTCCACTGGTTGCTGTTGGAGATACATCATACTGGGCTGGATGGACTGTTTGGTAGCTTCTCTGTAGCTGTTCTAATGTATTTCCTCAAAAAAAACTGTATCCAAATTTGAATAGAAGCTAATTAACTTCATTGGATCCCAATGTTTGTAGCAACATAAGCACAGAGAGCATTTCTACAAGAGAATTTCAATTGAATCACGATTGATGCAGGTGTATCTTGGATGAAAACCCACAGTCTCACTTAAAATGTGGGCCCTGGTTTTTAAGTGTGCTTGTGTCATTACATCCTTGTGCTTCTAGACATCTTCATCTTACACTAATTGGACAGAATATCTTCTCCTGGGAACAAGTTTGGGACAACAGGATTTAAACCTCTGTTTCGTATTCTAATATCAACAGCCCTGTCTTTTGAGTGATTTTTACTGACGGCTCTTCAACTTAATGCAGATTAAGAACCTGTTTCAAGGAGGCTCTTGTTGCCCTAATAGCTTGTGTAGCTGACAACTAAAACAACCCATTGCTTTGGAATAATCTTCAGCTTTGAGAATGATGAATATTTAGCAAATAGTTAGCATCAATAAATACAACATTCCATCGTTCAAAATAAAAGTACTTTTTCATAATAAAATATTAAGATGTAAGACTAATTTATTGTTTAAATATTTTTTAAAATCACTACATTGAGCATAGTGTTTCTATAGGCACTCATATATGGGAACAATTTTATGTATGTGTCCACAGTCTGTCCACACACATCTATTTTAGAATAACACTGTTATGACTGCAAAGTCAAGTATTCAAAATCAGGGAGTGTCATAATTAACACCTTATATTTAATTCACTTAATTTTCTCCTTTTTGTATTTTGCATTGTGGCATACAGTTTGAATATCATTGTATTCTGTTAGTTTGGGTCTGGTTTCTTTGCTGTTCCTCTGTCTCAGTGTCTAGCATGGACAGTGTTAAATGGAAATAAGTCTGTGCATCAAAAGAGAAGTCTGTAACCTGGAAGGTACAGGTAACAGTGACAACGTTGTAAGGGTTACAGGGACAGTCACACAGACTTTGTCCTCTTCATAATGCCATCTCCTTTCTTTAGACATTCTGTAAAATTTTGGTTCCTCCCTTCCCTTGCATCACTTCTTGATCCTGGTACAGTTTTTAGATTGACTCTATCCCTAAACAAGGTCCTTTTTCAAAACTACAGTGGTTCTTTCCTTACTCCTGATCTCTCTTCAGAAAACTGTATTACTTAACTAAGAACTGACTCTCACAAATTTTCCCAGTGAAAGGTTTTGAAAAAGGTTGAGACATTTCCCCAGGTGCAGAACAGAGATGGCAGTGACACTGCATCCACTTGAAATCTTAGAGAGTTGCAGAAAACAAAGGTTGAAAATACTGTATAGTACTAACTGTTGAGCAGCCCCACCAGTAATATATTTGATCATCTCTCTCTCCTCAATTTCTGTTTATCGTTGTGATTTTATTTATTTTTTTAATAGCAAAAGCTACATATAATACATCTTGCAGAGGAGGCTTCTGGTAAGCACAGGTGAGGGTTAAGTGTCTGACTTTGACTTCCTGTGTGGTATGAGCATTTGACTGGTGATCACATCTCTGCCAAACTTTTCCCTCCATCATTAAATATACCAGTGTAAAGCAAAGTAATACAACTCCTATGTAGAACTATAGTTATTCATATATTTTGAACATGCTTTTAAATATATTTTGTTATACTTGTCTTCATAGAATCATAGTATCATTTTGGTAGGAAAAGACCTCTAAGATACCAAGTCCAACTGTTAACCCAGCACTGCCCAGTCCACCACTTAACCATGTCTCTAAGGGCCACATCTAGAGTTTTAATAAATGAGAAGTAATCAGTTTAAAAGAGTACAGTAAAAAAAAAAAAAAAAAAAAAAATAGAATGTAGTGAAAGCAGGCATTAGCTAAGGGAACATGCCTTTTTTAATATATTTTTAAAGTGAGTTGGTTGCAATGAGTTTTAACTTAAGCTAGAAGGGAATTAGGTATTTTGCGCTTCTACAAATAATACCAAATGTAAGAAGTCTCTAAAGAGCTGGAGAACTTACAAAATATTAGTGACTTAATCATCTCAGAAGCTGGTATGCTAAAAGGAAATTATTTTTCAAATTACTTTTCCGGGATTGTGTTCTTAAACATTTAAATGCAGATGCACACACAAAGAACAAGTTATGTGTTAATAATCCCAGTCACTTTAGTGACTTTAGTAACTGATACATTTATTCGAATATTCAGGGGAAATGTATGCCAAAAATGAAAATGCTGGTTTATGGTGCAAACAACAGGAGTGAGGATTAAGTTTCTGTTGAGGATCAAGGAGGGCTTCCCACCATTTTTTCATAGGATTGTATTCATGTGTAGCATAGCCATATTTCCATCTCCAGCACTGTCCCTCTTGCTTTTCCCATGCAGAGTTTCTGTCCTGGACACTGCCACTACACTGTGCTGGTGCCACAGAGAAATTTGGCTCTCAGAGTTTGGATTGGTTGCTGAAAGGAGTGGCTGCCAAGCTGACAGGAGAGCAGGACCCTGGCGTGGCAAGAGGAAGCACAGCTTATTTTGGATATCATTGCAGAAAATCCGCAAAAAGTAAGTGTTTGTAATAAGATGATTAGAAAGAACTGTCCAAATCAGTCATATAAAAATTATTTTAATTTGGGATCAATGTTTTTAGTGGATCTGAACTGCAGTTATCTCTCTGGGCAATACAGTATGCCAGATTCACCTGAATTGTTTTTCTTTAAATATAAACTTATTAACAACAAAGAATGTTTCAAAGTTCTAGTGAATCTAGTCCCACTGTTGCATTTTGGAAGGGAAGTAATAATGAGGTATTTCAGCTTTTCTTTAGTTGGACAGGTCTTCTAAACATTCACTGTTATTGTTGGCTGTACGTGTTCACTAATTATTTTGGGGAGGTAGATTTTTTTTCAGTAGATGGTTCAGCGTGCCTAAGTGAGCAGAAAGGATCACTGTTTCTGAATTAGAAATTCACACAATAGAAGAAACTTGTAGTAGTATGAAATGTAATGGTTAGGGTTTGTGGTTTTTTAATCTAGAGTTATTTCTCAACTTCAATGTTCTATCAAAATACATGAACTCTGGTTTGTTTCTCTTTGGGAAGAGATGTACTTCAGTATTAGTGGAGATCACAGTGTACTTAGCCTATAAACTCTTTGAGAGGACAGGAAAACAAATCACAATATTTAAAACAGTATGAAAAAGAAACTGATGTTCTGGAGGTACTTTACATTGGCATATCACCTCCTTTCTCAACATCCACAAGGTTGCAATAATGCATTACAGACTCACAGTATCCTCATAAATTGTGTATTACTACCTCAGTTCAATTGACAAGAGAGCTGAGATACAGAAATATTTGTGGTTTCTCAATTCATTCAGTAAGCTAGTTAAAAAAATGGAAATATTATCACCTTTTTTTTTTGAATCCTAATTGTGTTTGAAGGAGAAAAAAAAATTTTCTCTCATAAAATAATAGCAAAAAAAAATGGAAGGGATCTCTGGCAGCTGTAACCTTCATCCCCATCAAGAGTTCTGCTCTGATTATATGAATTTTGAAATCATGTTTGTTTAACTTGTTCTCTTGTGACAAATACACCACAGCCTCTCCCAGCAATATGTTTCAATGTCTCCCTGTGATTATCTCTAAAAAAGTTTGCTGTAACTTAAATCTATTACTTCTTGTTCGCAATGGGCATAGAGAACAAATTACTCCTTTCCTTTGAAAACTGTGACCATACTCCCCCTCAGTCTTCCTGTCTAGAGATAAAACAAGTGCAGTTCTTTTGATCTTTCATTGTAGGTCATGTTTTCTAACCCTATGATCACATGGCTGATGCCTTAATAATACTAAATAAAGCAGAAGGATTACTTCACCTGTCTCTCAGAGCAATTTCGTGTTGCACACCAAATATGATGTTTGCTTTCCCACCCCCAGAGTGACACTGCTGATTCATTTTGCTTCTCCTGTGTTGGAGGCCTGTTTTTCTGCACCAAGCCTACCCTACCCACCCAGCCTGGCCACTGCATGCCCACCTTGCTGTCGTCACAGCTGTGAGTAGGGGCTCTCCTCATCTTATTTTTGCTTTGTGCTTCTTCATCAGTGGGGAGGACTCACAATACACCTGGTTTGCTGTTTTAGAATCCACCTGTCTAGTCCCTTCTAGACTGGATATACAGAGGTAACAGGAACTTGAACCAGAGAGGCCATCCAAGCCATTATTACTGCAGACATTGCCACAAAGTAACTACTTCTATAAATTCTTCAAATATAAGTTTTATCTTGCCTACACCGTGATGACTGGAAGATCATTCCAGGATGCTGGTCAGCAGCTGAGGGTGGTGAAATATTTGATCCAGTTTGACTGTATTCACTTGTCCTCACAGCAGAACGTTCTCTATGGTGTTGATCCCTGTGCAGAGCACAGCCCTGTCCTTTTTTTCTTTCTCAAGAAAGCCAAGGAGTTTCGATCACCTTCCGTGTGACAAATGCTGTCAGTGATAGGGTCACCTTTGGCAGCATTCCGTGTTTGATTCCTGTTTTCCCGGGCATGGGCAGCTGCAAAAAAACCCCAAAACCCAACAAAACCAACAAAAAAAGAAAAACCACAAACAAACAAACAAAAACCCCAAAATCTCCAAAAAACAGAGAAAAGGACAACCTGCAGCGTCTGGCAGGTAATAAACAGATGTTGCATCTTACTTTATTTTCTACTTATCTTCATAATTTGCATCTCTTCTCTTAAAAAGAAATATGTTTTGATGAAATTTTACTCAAACGAGAGCTAATCTTCCTGCTCATATGCGGTGCTCATATGTCCCGCCTTGCCGCGCCAGTTTCAGTGGGTTCGCTGGACCTGCCGTTCCCTGCCCCTTCGTCCCGCTCCTTCCCCCCGGCGGCTCCGCAGCCGCTTCCCTGGCCCGGCCGGGCGCGGTGCCGCCGCCGGCCCCTGGGTGGCGCGTCTGCAGCTCCACGGCGGCTCCCACAGGCTTTGGGAAGCGGCTTTGGGAAGCGGCGGGAGAGCCTTTGGGAGGCGGCGGGGCGGCGGGTCCGGCCCTCCCCCTGCAGCCCTGCGGGGATGGCCCCGCCCGGCACTCGCTCTCCGGTGCCAGAGGAGCTCTGGAGGAGCGCGCCCCGCTCCGGCAAGATCCAGCCCGCAGATTCCCTGCGGCTCCCGGCGGGTGTTCCCCGTGTTCCGTTTCCCTGGATGCCGGGGTTAGGCGCTGTGCCGGCTGGTTAAAGGGCATTCCGGGCCGGGCAGGGGCGGGGGTGGTGGTTCCGTGGGCGGCGGGGCGGGCGCGGCTCGGGGCGGGATGCCCGCTGCGGGAAGGCGGCGGGAGCGGCGCTTGGCCGGCCTGGGGGAGCCTTTCCAGGGGGAGCTTTTCTTTCCAGCGGGAGCACCGCAGCTTGGACCGCAGGGCTCGTCCTGCCCCGCCGTGCGCTCCCTGCGGCCGCTCCCAGCGCCGCCGGGTCGGAGCGGAGCGAGTCAGGGAGCCGCGTTGGAGCGGGTGTGGGTCCGGGACGGGCCTGATGCTGATGGGAGGGTGGGAAGGCTGGGGCGCCAGTGTTCCTGCCCCGTGCCTGGAATGGCGTGCTAGCACTGAGATAATCGAAAGAACTAGACTTAGGAAGGAGATCGGAAGTAAGAAGTCACCGGTGAGCCAGACTTCCAGTGTCCCTGGTGTCGCTTCAGTTCTCCTAACAGTCTTGTTAGTCAGATCATCAGTTTTGGGAAGGGGGCTGCCACAGGGGTTGTGGTTACAACTACATTAGGAAGTAGTGGTATACGGTGGCAGGGGGTCTGTGCAGTGGGTCTCGCTGATGCCTATGCTATATGCTTTTCAGGATGCTTTACTTTGTGGTAGATCTGCTCTGGAGCGGTGCAGTAATGGCTGGAACACATCTTCCAGTTTAGCTTCGTTTGAGACTAATCCAGCTTCAGACTGCTCCACGGTCTGAACCAGCCAGGATGAAACAATCAGGAGAAATCTCTTCAAAGGCACGCTCCTCATACAAACTGAAACAGCAATGCCGATGCGTTCCGTGCACACCTTTTGTCATCCAGTCCTACAACGCTTACTGGCTTTGAGTACCATTTATGTAATTCATCTCTTCCACGAAGTTTGGCGGGACTGCTGGCCCAATCCTTGCTAATCACCTGTGATCAACTGTGATAGAACAAGAGCTTTCGAAGAACAGCGTGTGTGTGTCTTTGTGGATTGCAGAATGCAGATAGCTGCAGATCTTTCCAAACCTGAGATCAAGACCAGTTAGTGGTTATTTTAAGTGAAAAGAGTAAGATTTTCAGAGGACTCTGTATAAAATATTCCCCTCCCCCTTTTTTTTCTTTGTCCTTCAGCAGCAGCTCAAAAAAAAAAAGCAAGTAAGAAAGGTGTAAGCCTGCCTTTGAAAGTTCACAGAATCTCAGATCTATCACTCTTCCTCGTGCTGAGCAACATTATGACAGTACCTACAGAATCCACTTCAATTAAATAGTGTCTGTATAATTTCCATTCAAAATTTGGAAATTTCAGTGCTAGTACCCAGGTTGAACACATCTGATCCCTGCTGCAAGTGCAAACACAATGACAGTTCACATTTTTAATGTGTTTTCTTCTCATCATAGTGTAGACATGTTCAAATACAAGTAACTTAAAACCTTAAAAACTTGAAAAAAATTTCTGAAAGACATTTGCATTCTGTGCGTGGGTGAAGAGATAAGTTCTTCTACAACATTTGCTTTCACCAATTGGATGCTGGATTTTTGTATTTAAAAGTAGAACTGGCCAGTGGAATTACCACTGAATCACAGAAAGCAGAGATGGAAAAGCCCAGTTATATCATCTGGCCTTTCTCCTTCCTGTTGAAGGATTATTGCCTACCAAATACTTTAGTGCTTTTTCCAGTGTAGCTTTAAAAGTCTCCAGAGATATGCCATGTGTCTCTTCCTTCAGGCAAATATTCCATAACTTTCTGTACTTTACCATTAGAAATCTTTTCCTGAAATTTGACCTAAATTTCTCCTTTCTTAAGTACATTCCATTTGCTGAAGATTTATTACCTTGAACCATTCTAAGTAATTCCAGTCACTCTTTGGTATTGACATCTCTAACATGCTTGTTATTTCCTAATGCTTTGTCCCTTAATCAGAGCAGCTATCCCTGCCTAGCCTGTGTCTTTGCAGTCTTATACCACTTCTACTTCAGGCTGTAGGCTATAATAGGGATTTTTGCAACATTTGTTGCACTTCCACCTTAAGTTCATTTTCTTGAGAGTGACTTTTATGAGAGTGACTTTTTCGAGAGTGACTTTTTCATGATTAACATGCGTGAAACTGCAATTTTTCTCTGGAGGAAAATTGCAAAAATGCTGTCAATACGGTTATTATTTTTCAAAGATGTACAGATAGAAATTAAAGATCGTCTCTTAATTACCAAGCAGTGGCATGGGTTGCCCAGAAAGGCTGCGGAATCTCTGTCCTTGGAAATGGTCAAAACTCAACGCACCTGTGAGACACTTGCTTGGAGCAGAGGGTTTGGAGTCAATAATCTCCAGACATATCTCCTAACCTCAGCTATTCTGGGATTCAGTTGGAAAAGAACAAACCTAGCTCTAACAGCAGTAATTGCTTGACAATGTCCTCTGAGTCTGCACACTCAATTCTTAGTGCTTTATAACGTTAGGTGGATTGAGCTTAAACTTTTCTATTGGTCTATTAAGTTTGTTCATAGTTAGAAGCCTAAGAAATTTCCTTTTCCAAATCTTATAGCTAAGTCACTGGGAGCCACAAATTACCTAAAATGAGAGAGTCAGCTGACCTTGCTCTTGCTCAGTGTTTTGAATGAACAGTCAAGGTTAGAATTTTGAGGTGTATATCTGTCCTTGAAGGTGGACAAATGGAAATTTGCATTAATCTTAATGCATACTAATAAGGAATTAAGTTTCAGAAAGTTATCAGAAATTGAAAAGGCAGAACAAAGAAGTGCCCACTCCAGCTGCATGTATGTGTGCCTATACGGCCTCTTCTGCTACTTCACCACTTTTTTTGTCCCCGAGTCTCACACACCTCAGGACACCAGTTAACCATGAGCTTTGATGACTGGCAGCGAGGCTTTCACATTTTAAAAGATAAGAATCCTGCAGTACAGGTGAAGCCCACAGGAGCCAGCACATAGCACTCAAAGAGAGCCTTAATCTCCGTTTGCTGTCACCGTGGGATGCACAGCTCCACCGCAGGGTGTGCGGTGTGGGCTGTCAGTCACGGAGAGAGCAGAGGGCCAGCCAGGTGGCCCCACGGCCTCACAGGAGTGGGTCATTGGAGCAGCAGCAGGGGCCAGGGAAGGAGGCTTTCTTCCCTTTAAACAGATGGATTTAGGTGAAACAGAGAAGGAGGAGGGAGGCTGAAATGCGCAGTCCTTTTAGTATCTCCGGAAGCAAAGCGGAGTGTTGCTCCCTTCTTAACTCATACTGGCAGAGTGCAGGAACCTCCTTGTGGGTGTTCACACAGCAAAGCCTGGGGGTTACCAGATCCTGGGAGCTCCCAAAGCATGGGGGTTATGTCTGGGCAGGAAGGTGCTGCTTGCCCTGTTCTCAGCAGCCCCTAGCAGCTGGTTGTAATTACACACTGCAGCTTCAGAGGAAGTCGCTGGCTGTGGAGAGTCTGCAGCGCTTGCCTGCAGATCCGCTGCTTTTAAGGGTACAGTGGAGATGGGGAGGGTATAGAACAGTGGCACAGGGTGAAGGGGAGGGTGAAAGCTTAATTATCCCCCACTTGAACTAGCTGCCTTGTTAAATCATTATATATTTCTGAAAGTCCCTTGATAGATGTAGATCATAAATGAAGTCAGATGAGGGAAAGACCATAATCAGATGCCAGGAACTCCTGCCACAAAGGACTAAAACTTTAGAAGCAAAAAAACCCTCTAAAACTATCTGGAAAACTATTTATTATTTATTTTACTACTATCTACCAAAAAACATTAGGCTGATTTGTGTCTTTTGGAAAGAAAAATTGCATTGAGATGACATATTGCAATGACTATTTTTGGTCTTACCATTTAAAATTATAGAGTTATAATTAGAGCAGTGCAAAATGCAGCTATTTTGATTCTCACTGGGATTCACACAAACATTTGCTTTGGTTTCAATCATTGGATTCAACCCTCCACTCAGTGCTGATTCTGCTTCGAGTGCAGAGGATTCCTTATTTTTTGATTTTTAAACAACCAAACCAATTTGTAGTTGAGAGTTTTTGCTGACTCTTGACCTTAAGCTATGTACTGTTTTAACATCACCTAGTAATTGCCTCAAGATTGCCAAAAGAATTGCAAAAATATCTGTGAAGGTGGCTTATAGTACCAGTTTTGCAATGAAACCCAAAATGAGGCAAATTTTGTCTGGAACTGGACATTGTAAGAAAAGCTCTGGTTATAATTCTCAGGAAAAAAACATTTGTAGTGGAAGTGACCAGTGAATCCTAAATATCAACAGAACATATTGCTATGAAATGTATATACCTAGAGGGG